TGTACAGATGGATATAAAAACTATTTGAAATTTTTTAAATTGTAACGCCGCCAGTGAACAAAGCATTGGATGTTTGTCAATTTGTTCATAAATCATAAATAAGCTTCGAGCTGCACAAAGCAATTTGAAATGAATGGCAAGGTAATGCAAGAGCAATGCTCAGGAAACGTTACTTTCGTTACATTTCCCGATAACATTTTTGTCACAGTGATTTTTAAAAAAATCTCTAAAAGTACTATGCGTACAGCTTATACTTTGCCTTCCTTAGATTCGTTGTTATAAGAAAATTTCATAATTTTTCATAAGGGTTTTAAAGACAATTCGTAACTTTTTTCTTAATTTTATAAGTGCCGCCGAAGAACGCGGTTGCAGCAGATTTGTCGCCTCATTGAATTATCCAGCAACGTTCTTCTTAATTACAATCCGACCCTCAGAGTTTGCCCTAATTCGTGTAAGTTGAGGAGGAATTGGAGAGGTATGGAATGGCCGCAGCTGAAATAGATTTCATCCACGAAGAGCAATTTCAAAGATTGACATGATATAGTCGCATTTTCACGAGTGCTAAGTCAAGAAGAACATTAATGTTGAAGAACATGTGCTCATGGGTGACGAAAGTATATCCAACACATCCAAAATCCTTGAATCAGTATAATGTGGATTATGTCCCAGGACAAGCGTTCTGCGTAAGAAATAAGATAATTTTCCGCTAATTGGGTCTTCTAGCAGAACGATTCAGCTTATTCGGTGCTACCGGATGACCCGAAAAAAATAAACAGTTGCACTTGGAGATGTGCAACCTTGAAAAGAGTGGACGACTGAGTGGTAAGATTAAGACCATAAAGCCATACAATATTAAAAAGGAAGACCTAAAACATGAGCCATAAGAAAAATTTCGTATTTACAATACGTTGTACAGTGTCTAAGGTTACGAAAGTTGCTTAAATTAATGAGAATTTTAGTAAACCCAACCACCAAATCAAGTAAACCAAACCGCAAACTGGGAAATAATCGTTTGGAACGCAAAGATTAAATTTTAAATAATAGAGACTAAAATTAAAAAAATCCTATAATTGTTGCTGCCGAACTGCTGATATGTAGTGAACAAAGTAATTATGATATTATAAAGAAAGAAAAGCAAAAGCAAAAAATTTACTTCCTTTGTTTAAAGAACAAAGAAAACTTCATAAAATATCGGATAATATTTGTATCGTACAGAAACGGTGGTGCAAGATTATGTTACGTTCGTGCGCGTGTACGCTATACCGAGAAGGAGTTAAAATAGTCGCGTCTTTTATTTCACCTATCAATTCAACAATCATTTTGTGAATCAGTCTAAACTCATCTGTCTGCCTTGTGTTTTGCGTGCAACGTACGTCGCAAAATTTTTGAGATATTTTGATGAAATTTAGTGCAGCGACATGTTTTGGCTCAACAACGATTGCTACGGAAAATTGTTCGCATCAGATCACTTTTTCGGCCGTTTCCTTATAGCGCCCCATTTTGAAAATTTTGCATATGGATAATTGTACAGTGGGGTAGGGTATTTAACGCTTGCCTGTACCTTAATATAGGATTTTTACTCGTCTTTATATATATACATTTTCACAGGCCAGAATCATTGGCGTCTTGGTTTGATTGAAGTCCAGAATGGCCTACAGAGATATCAGGTGTTTTGCCGTGTACAGACAATATACTTTATAATCGTGTTTAACACGAAGGCGTAAAATTCATTGGTAAATTTGTTTCATTTATAAACTTGTATAGCATGCGTGACTATATATACTATATTTCAATATTTGTTACTTGTTTTATTTGATTAAAAAAATTCGCTCTCTTTTTTTATTTATAAAATGCAAATCGTTTGTATTTCATGAAAGCCAACATAAATAAATAAACAAATAAAAGGAAAAAAAATCTCTTTTTTAAAAGCATACTAACAACATTGGTGCTTCTTCTGACCTACATAGCGGTTAAGCGTACTTTCGAGCACACTTAAACCACTTTTATACTTTACTTCTAGACACTTGGCATGAGGAGTGAATGTACAACTTTTAAAACTTTCGTTTCACTTCAAAGATTATTAGCAACACTCACTTAAACGCATTCTAACCAGAAGACAAAAGTTTTCGTTTTCACAATCAGTTTTGGACTTAGTTTATGAGATTTATTATAGCCATCACACACTCAAACACCAACGAATTACCCGTTTATGTTAATCGGGCCTTTTAAGTGGCAACATCAAGAATCGAAACATAGAAAGCGAATATATTCGTTACAAATCTGAGACAATAAGTCAATTCCCCTTTTCATTAGTTTGTGCGTCGATTGGTAACTGCGTCCATCCTTTTGTCTTTCTGCCAGTATCCATTCCCTTGTTTTCTTCACCACTCATTTGGATTTTAATACGATTGTCTCGTGCCCATCCCATCTGCCTATTCGCCTATTTCAAGGTTCGTCTTTTCTTCCGTCCGGTTCAGTATCTCCAACCAAAATTAGAGCCAGTTTGTCAACTTGCCCTTATGACGGTCTATTGGGTTTTTAATTGAACTGCTAAACAATCATTCAGTAAGGTCTTTCCTCTTACAATTTATTCGAATATCCTTTCCTCCGATAGCTTTAATCTGCTTTTTTCATGCATTTGATGATGTGATTCCATTCGCTTGACTTTCTGTCCTTCTGCTCACTTATCTTTCTTTCCGTCTTTAATTAGTCACTTTGGAACCCCGTTTGCGGGCGTCCCGTCCTTCAGCCGTCCCATATCCTCGACCGTTCCCTTCTTTCCATTTTGCGCATTTTTGTGCTTTACACATTTCAATGGCAGCCCGTTAGTATAAATTTTTCCTCTCTTCGTCCTCTCTCTCGTTTGACTACTTGTCCGTCGGCGTGCCATGTGGTTTGTTCCTCTGATCATACCTCCGTTCGATAGTTCATATTTTTATTAACCTGTTCCACTATCATCGTCTGTTTTACAAGAACAAAAAAACAAACGGTAACTGCAAACTAATGAATACATTTTAATACGTTTCGTTTCAAGTTACTGTTTAAAAAGTACGTGGATTCATTAATGGTGCCATTCTGCGAACTTCTCCAAAAATCCGATCTGCAGATGCAAAAATTAATGGCTAGTAATCAGATAGAAAATTCATAAAAGAGGTTTAATAAAAAATAAGTTTACATTAAGTTCCTCTTTGTGTTGCAAATATCTATACAAGCGTGATATACCCTTACCTCGCAAACCGTCGAGACTGTAAAATATATTTCAAATTATTGCGGCATATTTTGTATTCGAAAAATAAAATTAATGTTTTTAAAAGTACTTTGGATAGCTAAAACAAAATTCGGGCATTTGAAGTGTTTAACGATCTATTTATAAAAATGATGTAATTATTCTGCCGAAAAATCAAAAATCGAATCAGTCACTTGCGTTATTTGCGTAAAAGCAAAATAGGCAAAAAGCCTTTGTACCTTTCATGTTACTCACTTAACGTAGCTGATATGCAAAATTTGTCGTAAAAGTTCTTTTCGTTTCTTATAGTTATTGTTAAGCTTTTTTTGTTCTGGAACTTTTCCCAGCCAATGTTAAGTACATGTTAAATATTATGAGGATTTTCTTTTAACTACTGATTATTAACATAACAATGCTCTTTATTCGGTCGTTTCACTTGACGTATACGTGATATTATTCATCAATATCAATTATACAGTTGATCACACACTGTCTACCTTTCTCTTTCTCGCCACTTTTATAAGCTGAGTTATAATAATCATTAATAATGTTTATGAAAATGTTTCATTAAAAAAATTTCTAGAATAGTTTGTGGTTTTTTTTTAAGGAAGAGGCGTAATATATGAGTGAAGATACTCGCGTACGCACGCACTCTATAAACATAATTTTCTTGATTGTTTTTATATTACTTGATATTGTTCGTAAGTATTCTTCGACGTTACGATTAAATTATTTTATTACAAAAAGTTTTTTTTTTTTATTATTATTATTATTTTAAGCAAAGCGTAACACGCACGTTATGAACGTTAACCGTGTAAAGACGTTTATAAACCAACAAATGTTAATGCCTGTGGTTTGATTCAACGATTACTTTGTTCGAGTACTTATGATTGTCGTTGGCCGGAAAAGCACAAGAAAAGAATGAAAAAGAGAAATTCTATACTAAATTGATTGACTAAATGTATGTATATAAATACCCAACCGTCAAGTCATCAGCCAATAGACCAAACATTCGAATATATATGTATGGAAAAAGCATACATCTACATACAAATGGAAATTGAAAATAAAAACCTTAGTATTTGTGATAGATTGAATATGAAACTAAACCAAAAAAAAAAAAAAAAATCGATAAACCAAAATGTATAAATATATATATGCGCACAGGAACTATATGAACATGTACATAAAAACAATATTACTAATAAAATAATAATAAATTCCCAAGGGGAAAAATGTTAAACTAATCAAAACATAGGCGCACGGTAAGTGGGGAAAAAATGACAACGATGAGGCTAGAAAGCAGAGAGCGTTGAATTTGACTTATTTCCGATAAAACCGTTTCCACTTTGCTTCTTGTCTCTATCTATCCAACTTATATTGGAACAACATGTGGTTTAGTTTTTGGTAAACCCTTATAAAATAATCAACAAAATTTCCTGATTTAGGTTACAATCAAAACGATTTTTGTGTGCTTGTGCTCATAAGTGAGGTGTGGATCTGTGTACATGCATACTATTCATATATGATATTTTTCCAAAATTGTACAGGCAATAAACTCTTTTTAGCTTTTTGCGTTGATAACGTAATAAGCGGCAAACAGAGTCACAAAATTTTGCTTAAGTGAACTTTTGACAGTAAATACATACACAATCGATTGTTGTGAATTTTATTTAACCGACAAGTTAATATCATTTTACAGTTACGAGAGGCCTCAATAATGCTTTTGTTTTTGTTATTATTATTGTATTTTTATTATTGTTGTAATACTTACCTGTCATCTGTAGGCTTATAGGTGACAATGTATTTCTCTACAGGATGTACGTTTAAATCAATCATGGTCTGCCAAGCCACACGCACAGTAGTTGGTGTTAAAAATGTAATTGTAATATTTTCGGGCGTTGCGGGTATAGTACCTGAAATAAAATAAATAGTTAAAAAAGAAACGGAGAAAGGAAAAAAAAAACAAAAGAACGCTTCACAGTAGCGTTTAGCCGAAAAAATGTGGTTAAGTGGGGGGAAACTCGTACATCAGAACTGGGTCAATGAAAAAATGTCGTTATCGAAAGACAACATAAACAGAAAAAAAGTAAGAAGACAGAAAACCAAAAAAACCGATAATAATAAATGCCATCACTTACCTACAGAAAGGTTAACGAAAGAGTGTGTAAAGCGTTTATATTTTGTCAAAAAAGTATCGGGAGTTTCCTTTTTTCTCAATTTCAATTTGATGGTCGAAATCAATGAAATTCTTTAAAAGAAGTTTATTCCCTGTAAAATACATACCTTTAGTAGGCAACATGCAAGAAAAAGATCGAAGAAAATTTGCCTCACTTTAGTCGGCTCACGCTCTGACGTCTTGAGATGTAAAAACTGAGAGGAAAATCGACGAAAATATTTGGGACAAATTTGTTAGCCAATACTCAACGAGAATTGGCTTCACTTTGGTCGGCTTCGTCGATAAATCCTATAGTGCCGATGAATCGCCATTACAGCTTGAGAGCAGGTAAGTTAAGTTGGGATACAGTTGACGATTTTCTCATCAAGCAGGTAGCTGCAAGCGTCTTTGCGCTTGTATGAAATCATTTTTCTTGCATTTCTTGATTAATAATTGAAAAGCCGACTTTGCTTATTCCTTATGTAATGGCTCTAAGTACATTTTTCTTTTCGTAACACTTGAATTGCCGTCGCATTGGAGGATAGTTGGCCCTACTGAGTCCGTAAACTAAAGTTCGAATAACAATTTCAAATCAATCGAAAAAAGCTTTTTAACGAAATTTTCATTGGAATATGTCAAAAATTTGAAAAAAGTTTAATTTTTTGTCAAACATTTTCAAAAGGAAAAAACCGTCTTTGTTAATCTTCTTAATCGATTGCAGCGACAACAAACTGGGCGTCTTGCAGTAGAATAATTTTTATCAAGCAGGTGGCGCTTACGAGATAATTTCGTGCTCGTAAATTCAGGCAACGCTTAGCTTATATGCGGTCTATCCATGGTCTATCTCCAAGTAAGAGTTTTTCAAATAATCAGAATATTGATGTTGTGTGTCTCAGTACATCCGACCTAAGTAATAGACTTCTCTGAATCTTTTCAAAAGAGAAAAGTTTTCAATTTTTACTTTTTTAAGTTCACTCCTTCGAAAAATTTTGATACAAGAGAAACTTTGCAAAGAAATGCGAGCTTTTACAAGAATTTTTCAAAATAAAATAAAATTCTTTCAACATTTTAAGAGAGCGTCCAAATGAAGTTCAATACAACAAATTAAACAGTAATTTCCTCTATAGACTAAAGTGGGTAAAGAAAATTTGCAGATCAACTTTTTAATCATGACCCGCCAAGCTGGACACTCTAGTCTTTTGCGCAATACCTTTGAAAATCATCTTGTATGAGTTATTATATAAGCCTTGGTTGTTTTTGAACCACACTACTTATTCTGTTGCCAACGAGGACGAAGCAAAGCATGTCAAACCAATTCAATTTTTTGTGCCGATATTGCTGGAAAGCAGCTGCCATGTAAATGGATGGACGAGTATGCTTGGCTTGTTTCGGAATCTAATGAAAAATATATATAATTATAGAGCTTGAAAAGTCAGGTGCCTATCGAGCGCCCATCTCAGCTGGCGCGTGCAACAAGTCATCACGAGGTGAATCCTTCACAAACTATTTACAGAAACTATAACTTTCTTAATCGTTTTCAATTATTGCCTGCAACAAGTATTCTTGCACCTCATTCTTTGATGGCTCTTGTAAATGTTTATAGCAAGTTTGAATCGTTCTACATTCATTCATTAAATATGGCAAGCGTGTCATCCATCATCTGCCATCAACTAAAAGTCTCAACTTTATTGCGTAATTTTGCGTACTTCTTGGATACAAATGATGAAAGATTATCATTTGCCTTTGAGGTATAAAGAGATGTACATGTTTTTTGTAAGGCTTAAATGGTTCTTTGCTTTAGTTTATAAAACCGGAACGGCTGCTTTTTAGACTGCACACATCTTGCAGGGATTTATCATCAGCATTGTGTGCGGATGAGCGCACCACTTACAAAGGCATAATATACATCATGCACTGGTTACAACAGTTGATGCAAAATCATTCCCTGTATCGAGTTAAGCCTGGTTGTCGCAAATCGCCGAGATATTCTAAAAAAATTTATCATACTAGCATGTACACTATTTGTTCACAATGTTCGACAATCGTCTTTAATCGTTTTAAGTCGTTATTTCTAGCCAAGTTAGTGACCGATTAAGCAAATATGGATCAAAGATTGTTTAAAATAGATCCACTAGCCCATAACCCTATCCATCCATATACACCGTGGTGGTACGAGGACATATTGAGTTTGTGTAACACCCGGAATATAAGCCAATCTTTTATTATACTGAGCGATTAAGAAAGTTATTTTAAGCTTCGTCTGTCCGTCTGTCTGCCTTATTCTTGTTTTCAACTTGCAGTTCGAGGACCAACGCTGTTGAAAATGATTCGAACCGGATCACTTTTTCGATCACTTCTCATGTAACGCCTTGAACTTGAAAATCTTTATGTCAATAATTGTATTAAACAAAATGATGTAAGGTACTCAGTGGTCCTCCATAACACTTTTACTTGTTCGTTTACACTTTCTTAAAACTGAAAAGGTAAGAAAAATAGCTGAACCGTAGTGCACTATCATCTTCCAATGAAGAATGTCATGAGAAGGGGATTGGAACACAATACATTTTACTCGGTGTTCATTAAGATTTTATTAACATTTCTTTTAAAGAATGCCACTTAAATTAATAGTTCTCATAAAAGAAAAAATCTTTCACTCTTACCGGATAAAAGAGATATAAACTTACTCCCACAAGAGAATTGTTACGTTGTTCGCTTCAACTATGAAAACAACATATGGAAAATGATTCAATCTTTTAAATAAAAACAAAATTCAGACCAGTTTGCGTATCACATAAAATGCTTTTTGTGCATAGCTGCTGCATAAATTGAAAGCACTAAACGAAGACGCAAGACAGACAGACGTAAGCAAAGCATTGAAAATTGTTCATTTTTGAGATTTTCAGACTAGCAGAATACGGGTTTGAACACTGGACGGTCAAGGCAAGGTTTTATGCCCAACAAGGTAGGATGAGTAAGCAGCAACACGAGCACGGCGGCGTACATTTACGCTTAAAGTGAAAGCACACGCAACACGACAGCAAAAACACAATTTTAACGTTTTAACATATTATATATTCTTGTAGTCAAATATAGGCAATAGTTGCCCCTCATGCCTTTTATGGTTTACACCTGTTTAAAATAGCATGTATATCCATTAAGTGATTGTGGCTATTAAAACTAAAAGTGTTTAGTGGTAGTCTAAGTAAATGTTACGTAAAAACTTTCGTTTTTGCGGGCAGGGCTTCTGTCGAAAGTCATGAAACGGATGTGTACATATTAACAAAAAAAAAAAAAAAAAGAAAAGAAAACCAAAAATAAAACAATTGAAACAAACAAGAAAGTTACACACGCTTTGCGTCGAATCCTTGATACGCATCGTCTCGAACCAATACTTTTTAGTTACAAAATGTTTTTGCAAGACATGTAAGTGTCAAGGGGAAAATTGGATTATTTTTATGTTGCTCTAGTATTTGTGCAAGTTTTTAGATTAATGTCTTCTGTAGACGTCCAAGCTATAAAGGTTGGCTTGCGTGGTGTTCGTATCGTTTTCACCGAGCTTTAGGATAATTTTTTCTAGGAATTTCATGTAAGTTTCGTTGCAGGCAGCTAAGGTTTCACATACCGAATTGAAGGTGCCAAGACGTGGTGGGAAGGCATATAGACAAGCAGCGAAACGGATAACGAAACGTACGATGCAGAATCGCATATCAAGCGTTTTCACCTTCTTTTTTTGCGTCCTATATGACAGGGTTTCGGGTGCTGCAAATGATAGACTATATGTTACTTAGCACATAGCTATCTCTCGACGACGCGTTTAAATATTGTCGCACCGCATTCCATATATGAGTGTTATTGCTGTCGTTGTTGCCTCCCTGTGCGCACATGTTTTACAAGCAATTGAAAACATTTAGCATTGACGCAGTAAATTATTAAAATGAACGACAACATTGACATTTCTTGTGTTGTTATTACACATAGTTAATGTTGTTGTTATGTTATTATTATTACTTTTTTTTTGTTGTGCCTTATAGAATACTTTCCCGCTTTTATTACGATATAAACATACAAATAAAAGCTTTTCATGTTAGGTAAGTTTTGTCTATCAGAAGTTATTTAAGTTCGCTTTCTATTGAATCGAAGCACACTCAGCAACACCGAGAGCAATTATCGTTAGTCGCTTTTCTTGTTAGAACAAATGGTTCAAGTTCGTGCTTTGCAGTGGTTATTGTTATTTATTGTGTTTGTTCTTTTTTTTTTTTTTTCATAATATTCGCACATTGAAAGCGGTATGTTTATCTTGTTGGATTGTTTACAACTCAGATTTAAAAAAGCTTAGTGTGACATTTTTAGACGATCTAAAAACGTTTATATCTCTACTCGACTGTAGACTTTTGGAATCGCCAGTAAAAATTTTGGAAATATTTCCTTCGATTTGTACCGTACGTTAAGATTAGAAAAGGAAATTAAAAAATGCTCCCATAACAAGCTAAAAATTTCAAAAATATTAGAAAAACCAAATCGCCAGCAAAAAAAATTTGAAAATTTCGAAGCCATTTTAGCTTTTTTCGCTTAAAATTTCCTTTACCCTAAAAATTTTAAGACTACAATTTATTTTAAACTCAAAATCCATCATATCAGACCCATCGTTTGTTGCACCTAAACCTATATTTACTTCATTTATTTATAATATGCTAAGTTTTCTGTCAGCCTGCCCGTCTTGTTTTCTTGTGTTAAACCTACAGGCCGCAATTGTTGAATTATTTTGACAAAATTCTGTACGCCGACATGTTTTCTCATAAGAACAAACGCTCTCGGACTATACGTTTGACATCTTTCCATATGACACCTTATCTTGAAGACTCGTTATATGACTAACAACATTAAGCGAAGTGGTGTGGGATATTTCATGATGGGCCGTGTCTCCGCTATAGAGTTTCTATGCGCTTTAAATTAAAATTTTCACAAGTAAAGACTTTTCTTAATTGAAAATTTTTTTAAGTCAAAATATTTCAAATTGAAATTTCTAAATTATAATTATTTTATACCCACCACTGTAAGAGGCGGGCATGCCTATTTTGTGTTTTTCCGGCGGAAATTTTCCAAATTTACTGTGGAAAAAATCACCAATGCCACACAAAGTCACAAGCGATTAAATGACCTTTTTTCCCCTTTCTTGAGGGTTTATACCTATTTATCATAACGCAAAGAAGAGAGAGTGTTTAAAATTATTTTGTATATTCCGCAAATAAAGATATATTTTATGCCTGAAAGTGGGCGAATTCGAAAATGAATATGATAGACAATGCGACCTTGTGGGTTTATTTTTTCTTAAAAATACCAGCGATCTGGTCCCCCGCCAAGTGTAAGTTCTTTAGTGGTTTTAAATTAACCTTTGTTTAACTTAAATTTTTTCCAATGAAGCTTTTTCTTAACACGAAAGTCTTCTCATATTAGAATTTAAATATTTTTTCAAATTAATATTTTGATAAATTTATATTTTGGTGAATTTGTAATTGACTAAGTTAATAATTACTCAAATTAAAATGTTTTTCGGATAAAATTTTTTTTGTATTAAAGTTTTTAATATCAAAGTTTTCGACTAAAAATTTTTAATAATTAATTTTTAAAAAATTTTTTGAATAAATATATTTTCAAGCAAATTAACATTTTACAAATGAGAACAATTTTATATTTTATTTTATATTTATATTCCAATGCTTTCCAAAAGTTTCGATAGAAGCCATATGTAGAATTTGTGAAAAGTGACTTTAATCACTCTAAACATGTAATCAGGAACGTACTTTTAACCCAAAAGGGCATGGCTGATAAAGTTGTTGGGTAATAATGTTGTTTTTAGGTTTTAACATTCCTAAATTTCTCTGATACAAAGTCGCCCCTTGGGCTACAGGTAAGGGTTTCTTAAAAGCGAGAGTAAATGTTGTATGTGTCATTACATTCGGTTTAAGCCAACCACAGTTTTTTTTTATTTTTTAAACAAGAAGTTTTTTCTTCATTGTCTTTACCCGAAAAATATGACGGAGTATTTCATGTTTAAAAAGTTAAGGTCAAATGCTTGTGTTTCTGTAATGTTTTCGCTATCCTATAACACCGTACACTGCCAGCAAATGAATCAATGCAAATCAGTGTAAAAATATTCATACATTTTAAGTTTATTTGCTTTACCTTTCTTCTAACCATATGCATTTTTTTTATACTGAATAATTTCAACGTAAGCATATAAATTTGATTAGTAAGCAATTTCTGGTTGAGATTGCTTCTTAATTACTCTTTAGCTGATTCCAATAGCTAAGTGAATTCCCGATGCCACGAAATCCTTTAAATTCAATAAAGGATAGGTAATAAGTAACTGAAGGTGTAAAAAACCGAAAAGACATTTGTGGCTTAACACCATTTAAATAAGCCCCGGCGACCATGGAATTTCATAAAAAACCGTTACCACAAACCGCTTAATTTTCATACAGTTGCATTTTTGTCTCCTCTCATATCAGAGATGTTAAATATTGTTTTGTTAATATATAGGTCATAAGTAAAATATTATTAAATTTGTAGTTTGTACATGAAATCTCGTACGATAGCAAACAGTTTCCGGCGAAATAAATAAATAAATAAATATATATATCAAAAATGCCTCAATGGAATGTTTTCGTGCTTCATACGCATTTAGGTTGTTGTTGCATTGTTACAGTGAATAACTCAAATGACATGGATTTTCAGCCAAGCTGCCAAGGATGACCATTCTAGTATTTTGTACTTAAATTCTTTCGTTTTTATCCATGGCCAACACACTTGACCTTTTTTTACTTTGCAGGCCGGAACGTTTTCCTTAAATTTGTTTTATCCGCGAAAAGGGCTCCACATGAGAAGCGGTCGAAAATATGTCTCGATCCAAACCACTTTCAGTAGCGTTCCTCCTTGAAATATCAAAAATGTGTGAATGAATGTACGTTGAACACAAGAAAACCTGGACAGATATCAGGCGGGCAGCTTAGGTTGAACATTAAAGTGCTTCTGAATGAACAGGTATAATAAGACATGGGTCTATCTTTCTGGGTGTTGTATCACAAGTAATGTAGGGTACAAATAATTCTTTATATGGAAAGTAGTCGACAAATTGGTCTGGTCTGACCGGACGATTCACAATGGCGTCCGTCCGTTTAGGGTAAAACAGATCGGTGAAGTGAATTTCATCAAAATCCCCCAAAAAGTAGGGAGTATAGGCTGAACGTGACGGATAGACGAATGTCGCATCCATCTGCACGAATTTAATATACTTTTATACTGCAAGCGCTGTGGGGTACCGAAGCTATAAAGTTTTTTATTATTGTTACATCAGTAGGCCGATTGAAATCATTTCAAAATTGTGACAAATGCTTGCATTATTTAAAGTTTTTTAATTTTAGTCTATTTTCTATTTATATAGAACGCGTACATTTCTCAACTGAGTCTGTAAAATTTTCTTAAAAAATTTTACGTGCAAGAGTTAATCGAACATTTGCGCTTATATTATGAAATTTGACATATTGCAGTTGAAATTCTGTGTAAAAACATAAAAAGAAAAAAAAGCAATAAAATAAAAAGTCTTCAATTCTCGTCTACTAGAATATTATCGTGCAAAATGCAAACAATTCGTATTTTATTAAGGAATTTCAAACCAATGCATAAAGCTGTCGTTGGATGCAGTAAGACGGCAACATCATCCGTTTTTAAGGACAACGCAATCCGACGTTCGTGTTCATTGTTTACTGTTAGCAGGAAAAATCGAGAAATCGCAACACCGAAAAACGTCACATCGTTTAATATATGTAGACAAATTGGTGCAACGAAAATTAGTCCATTGGCTGTCCAGGAGCAGCCGAAATTCCTGCAATTGAGTAATATTAACCCGAATTTCGTGGAGATGGAATACGCAGTGCGAGGTCCGCTAGTTGTGCGCGCTGGCGAAATTGAAGAGGAAATGAAACATGGTGCCATCAAACCGTTCGATTATGTTATACGCGCTAATATTGGCGATTGCCAGGCTATGGGACAAAAGCCGAATACTTTCTTAAGACAACTATTGAATTTAACGTTTTGTCCAGACTTACTTGATTGCGCCGAGTATCCGGACGACGTTAAGGATCGCGCCGAGGAAATTTTAGAAGCTTGCCAGGGTGGATCAGTTGGCTCATATACGGACTCCGCTGGTTTGGAAGTAGTGCGACGTCAAGTCGCCAATTATATAGAGAGACGTGATTGTATAAACTGCGATTGGCGTAACGTGTATTTAACGGATGGTGCTACGTCGGGCATCAAAAGAATACTATCGTTGCTAAATTGCGAAGTGAATGGGAAAAAACCTGGCGTTATGGTGCCGATACCACAATACCCACTCTATTCAGCCACCATAGCTGAATATGGCATGGAAAAGATTGGTTATTATTTAGAAGAAGAGACAGGATGGAGTTTAAATCCGCAAGAACTAAATCGTGCCATCAATGAATCTAGCAAGAACAGCGTACCCCGTGTTATTGTTGTTATCAACCCTGGCAATCCAACTGGCCAAGTATTAACGCGTAATAATATTGAAGAAATTATTAAGTTTGCCTACAACAACAAACTCTTGATTATGGCCGACGAAGTATATCAGCCTAACATTTACGACAAAAAGTCTCAGTTCTTTTCATTTAAGAAAGTTGTGCACGATTTGGGACATCCCTACAATGGCATGGAACTAGTTAGCTTTATGTCCGCTTCGAAAGGTTTCCTGGGCGAATGCGGTGTGCGTGGCGGGTATTACGAAATTATCAACGTTTGTCCCGATGTGAAGGCTATGTTATGGAAATCAATTACCGCCTCGTTATGCAGTACAACAGCAGGTCAAGTGGCTATTAGCGCCCTAGTAAATCCTCCTGATGAGTCTGAACCTTCATACGAGCAATATGTGAATGAACGTGACGATGTTCTGGCATCTTTAAAAGCAAGGGCTGAGATAATATACGAGATCTTTAGTAAATTCGAAGGCGTTCACGTAAAGCCCATACAGGGTGCGATGTATGTTTTCCCGAAAATCGAAATTCCTCCCAAGGCTGCGGCCGCCGCCAAAGCAAAAAATATGCCAGGTGACACGTTTTACGCCGCGGAACTCTTAGAAAATACAGGCGTTTGCATTGTACCGGGAAGTGGTTTCGGTCAAAAGCCATTTACTAGTCATTTTCGCAGTACAATTCTACCCCAGATACCACTTTTAAAAGAAATGATGAATAGGTTTAAAAAATTTCACACTGACTTTATGAAAAAGTACAAGTAACCTTCGAATACATTCGCTGCTCTATAGTCGTAGTGTTGTTAGTTTCGATATATTATCTGTTTAAATATATGATGTGATCCAATATAATGAAACTAATTCATACTAGAAAGTAGGCGTAAAAGTATGGATATATTTTTGTTACAGAAACCATCGGACGAGTGGATAGAATCAAATCGTAAAATCGTTTTGGAAGTCGCTCTATTGCTGTGCTCCTGGATATTATCTGAATCTGAATGATTAGCGCTGTAAGTAATGGTAACAGCGATTATAATAGTATTTGTGACATTAACAGGCCTAACACAGCTAATGGTAGACGTAATACTAATCGCAATAGCAATAGTAACAACTGTAGTAGAGTAGCCGTTGATAATAGCAGTGGTAGCAGTAGCAGTAGTAGCGGTGGTCGTAATATTAACCGTACTAGGGGTAGCAGTCGCGGCACTAGTAGCACCCCTTAATATAAATGTTATAGCAACAGCAATTTAAATAATAGTAGTAGCTGCGATAGTAATCGCGATAACAACGCTTGTAGATTTTTTAGCGGAATCAATAATAAAAAAATGGTCGCTATATAGTTTACAATAGGAGAGCTAATAGCAGTACAAGCAACAGTGGTCCTTGAAAAAGATTTTGTGAAAACGTTACCGTCGGGTAATACATCAAAACTTGCACATAATTTTTATGCAAAGGCGTATTTTCACGCAAGCTCGCATATTGGAAGATGCCTAAAACCGTATAAGACGTGATCCAGTGTATTATTTTTTGTTTAGTTTCCGTTATGGAAAAGTACAAAGTATATTTTCCATGTGCGGACGTGCTTTCAGCTATAATCCTTTTATGGGTGAGGGTCGAAAAATAGACCTATGTGATCCAAACTCGATATGGTTAACTTGTTTGCTAAATTGCTACGACGGACCAATTGACCTAATAAAGTATTGAAAATTAAGGCTTCTTCCGCAAAGTTTACTAATCCGAGAAATCTTATATGGAATGGAGTCGAAGAAATAGATGCATGTAATTCAAAATTGATTCACTTAACTTTTGCTATCAAATTGCTATCGTGAACGAATTTCCATCGTGAAGCAGTAACAATTAGGTCTTTTTCGCTTATAACGGATTACATTTCCTTGGAATCCTTATATGCGTTTGTATCCAAAAAATAAACCTAAGTCCAAACTCGATAAGGTCGATTTGTTTCTCAATTTCGTATTAGGAACCAGTTTTCACTACGGAATATTGAACATTAGACTTTTTTACCATACAAAGGTTCAGTTTTCGCAGCTGCTGAATAAAATCCTTCGCGCCAATTAAGAATGCCGCAATACAATTACTCAACGTACGTTATTTGCGTAAAAAGTCGAAAAAATGGACCAATCCGAACTATTTTTAATAGCGTTCGTCTTTTTGCCAAAGCACATCGGTGTGCCAAATTTCATTGAAGTTTGTCAAAGATTACGACATTTACACGGACAGACGTCAGGCGGACAGACACACGGGTAGAGGGATCTGGACATTACATATTTACACGCTGGATCAGAGGTGGTGTAGGACGTTCTGTCTTTTGACAGGTTCCATGCTTGAAAAAAAAAACGGAGCCACTTCTTTTCCTAATTATGTTCTAAATGGCAGGTATACAATATTCGTTTAAAAGTGGACATACCTCTCTTTTTCATTTAATTCAATTTATTATTAGCATTAAAATTTCTACATGAGTTAAGTTTGCTAATTGGTTTTTAATGTTTGTTTTATTAGTTAATTAAATAAAAACAAAAACTGACTTGAATATGAGAATTAAAATAAATTACATAGAATTAATTTTTTTTTTTGTGTGTCAAATCGAGGGAACTTTCAAAGCCAAAGAGAGAAAGATACGTATATGTTAGGAGATATGTGTGAAAATTACAAAAAAGCCAAAAATTCGCTTATAACAGAATGTGCACATAATTAGTTGTGTTTGTAACTTATTGGCCAAATCGATTAAATCAATAAAGCAAAAAGTTAGGAAGGATGATAGAATATAGTGGAGTATTCCTCGGAATTTTTACACTCAAATTAGAGAGACATCTCTTTCTTTTTACAACAAGTAAAGTTTATGCAATAGGAGGACATCTTAGGAATAACTTGGAGTATTTATCTCCTTGGTGCAGGAAAGAAGGGCAAGTTCAATCTTTACTTATTTAGAACATAGAAAGCTGTTGTTAGACAAATCTCTTATCAAAGGTTTTTTATTACGATCGTTAGTGTCGTTGTTAAGGCGGTTAGATGAATGCATCAGCAATATAATTTTACATCAAATTTCCCCAAATTTTTTAATTTTTTTTCCTCGCTATCATTTCTTAAAAATATTATTGATTTTTAACTATCAAGTTTAAATATTATAATCTCAGCCTAATGGAGACAGTTTCTTTCAATAATATACAGCAGTTCTTAGTTAACTTATTGGACACTCCATAATTTTGGTTTTCCAGTTAATGGCAACATTTTTCATAGGAATTGTAAAAGAAAAAATCGTAAAGACCCCTTTGCTACTTTTTATATCCACCATCGAACGATGAGAGGATATTTATTTTGTCAAAACGTTTACACCACTTAGAAGTACATATACTCTTGATTGGTATCAAATTCTAAACCGATCTAAGCTTGTCCGTTTGCGCGTCCGTCTGTCTCTGCAATGGCTGCTCTTGCAAGCACGTTTATATTGAATTTGAACCAAATCGGTCAAAGGACACGACTACAGTACAACATAACCTGAGACCAACTCTCTTTTTAAAAGTAAAAGAAATTTAGTTTTTTGCACTTTAATTATAAACCAAAACAAAGGCTGCTGTGTTCAAAAAGTAACACCAATTTGATTTTGTCTTTTTTTAAATCTATTCAATTGTCCAAACCTATTTTGCAGCCTTCAAAGTAATCCACCTCTCCTTATGCCAACGTTTTTCCCAATCCTCGAAACAGTTGTTATGTCCAATTTCCGATTTAGGAAATAGGTGGTAGTCAGATGAAGGCGCTGGTTGTGGAAGACTCCTGATTGAGTTTTAAAAACACAGCCTCGAAGTAGCAAAGTCATGCAAAAACCAAGAGTTGTCTTTCCACAATTCCGGTCTCTTTTTGCGGACAGCCGCAAAAACGAAACATAAATATAATCCTTATTAACAGCTTGCGGCCTCGATTTTTGAGCGACTTCAGTGCCGTTTTTTCCATCTTAGCCCAGTTTTTGCACGACATTCGCTCAGTTGGTCGAATGTTAAAATGTTAAAAATTTGAATCTTGTTTTTGCGTGGTGGCCACGCCTACTCAGCTTTATGGAATATTAAGATTTCATTTTTTTTCTCCAAGTACCTGTCTCCAATACCAAGAACAAAGTGTCAGTGACCATAGAAAGAAAGTCTACGTTTTATTGATCAGTATTAAGCGGTGATGGATATAAAAGACTCGGTCGCGGCCATATGTAACTTACTAAAGTGTTCTATGTTAACGCCCTTTTTGCAATATCGCTCAATATAGTTTATGTCAATTATCAAACGGTAAGCGAATATTGGGAACGTTTTCCCATCTTTGATTTGACAAAAGCAAGATTCCTGTCATTAGCGAAGTATTCTATTTTTAACTAAACAATATTTTAAGGTTTTTTTTGCCGTTTGTTCTTAATTCATTAAATTTTTTCGTTCTCGAATGCAAACCTTTGCCAGGAGTGATGAAGTTTCCTCGCAACATTTTTCAGTGTTGGAATTCAAATCGATTTATGGAAATGGCTATGTCTTTAAAACATAACTAATAAAAAAATACTTTTTCAGCGCTTTGTCATATAATTTTAAAAATATTTTAGATGGTTCTGCCCAGAATACGCATCGTCTCCAATGTCGTGTAATTCTTCGTGGAGGTGTTTATCTCGTTCCCTGCTTTCGACTTCGTATGGTCCTCACGGACCTACTTGGACCTTCTCAGGTCTTCTTCGCGTTAGAACGCAAAGTCTGATACACAAAATCTTTGAAGATTTTTGGCAAAGTCGCCAAATACACTTGGCCATTTGCTCGCCAAATACAAACTATGTGTCGAGAATGTCGCTAAACTGCATACTGTTACGTACATACAAAAAGAAACAGTTCGCCATGCAAGACATAAGGCAAGCAATTTGCAAGAGACCTCATTGTTTTTAATTTGAAATACGTACACAGATATTATCAAAGCAAGCTGCTATCTAACTCATTTGTTTGTCGATAGTTCCACTAAGCGTTCATTTCCACTGCTCTTTTTCTCGTTGCCTTTGCATATCAGCGCATTAACTTTTTGAGTTCCTACGCCGGCTACTTGTTGACATTGTCGTTAAACAAGTAAGAAAACTACGTTCGGGTGCGACCGAATCTTTTTTGCCCATCACACTTGTCGTCTGCAAGCCCTTCTGTTCGAGTACACTGGTGAGACAAAACGAATCCTCCACGTTATTGGGTCTACCATGTACATTTTAGAATTAACATGTTTTTAAGCAGATAATATATTTTCACGTGAGCAATTTACAAAAAATAACAACCTCTTGTTTATTTTATGAGTAATCAACAGACAATATCAAAAAAGGTAAAAAAATCATTTATAACGTCGTGTAGGCGTGTCCTACTTTCCCCATTATTGTATACGTGCTGCAGGACTACCCATAGAATATGCGTACAAATTAGTGTCGTTGCGTTTTGTTGCCAGATGTATAAAAATTTTTGTCACTGCCTTACCCTCCTACCTTAGTAACTTACTTTAGCAAAATATTATCCGCTGTTAGCCAGGATTTTGTCTGACAGAATATGAGTTCTTTCTCGAAAAAAAGCAAAAATAGTTTGCCTATTCACGAAACAACACCGTTGTAAAAATAGAGTTTTTGAAAACGTCATAATTCACGGCCTTAAAAAAGTGATAATCAGAGGAAGGAGGAGCAGAAGCAGAGAAAATTACTGGCTGAGTCGCACAGACCTCTTCGATATTTTTAACGTTTGCATGTTAAAATTGCGCTCGCA